TGGACTGTGCAGCCACCACAATGTGGCAGGAGTGATGGGGTGCCACTGAGAGCAGGTAGACAAGATTTTGCTTCTGTCCTGGGCTCCCTTCCCAGGATAATTTGCTCTGGGGAGATGGCTGCCCTGAAGTGAGGGACTAACAGCAAGTCTAGCTGGGAGAAATGGACTGAGGCCTCAGCACCAGAAGCTAGAGGGAAACTGAGCTGCAGCACCTACAAAGGGGAGCTCAGATGTGGATCCCTGCTGTCCTGCCTCAGAGGGCAGGGCAGTGACCACCAGAGGGCCATGGGCAAGAACCACCCAGAGCAACTATTACTGACTCCTGATCTGCAGACACTATGTGGAATGACTGTCTGCCAGGGTGATCTGTTACCTGGCAACAGGTAACTACTATACACATTCTTCCTAGAGAAAGTAGACTCAATGTCCTTCCAGAGAAAGAACACAGTCCAACATGTAATAAGCACTTCAGTGATGCTGAGCAGCAAATGTATTTCATGTCTTTGTATAGAGCATTATTATGAAAGCTTCAGCAGAGCTGACTTAATGGTCTCCTTTGCTACAGCACTGGGGCCCTTCCACAACAGTGGTATAGGCCAGCTAGATGTTGTGCAGGGTGCACATGGCAGCCAGTGACACACAGGGCCAACGGGTTAGACCTAGAGACCTTGAATGGTGCTCAGAGATGGAGGGGGCCTTTTTCCCTCAGCTATGCTAAGCCAGAGAGGGTCACAGGTTGCTCAGGAAGACAGACGGCTGAGAGGAGGGAGAGGTCTTCCGGGACCGTCCATCCAAAACAACAGGGTCCTTGCCAGCTGTGACAGGAGGGAAGCATGAAGCAGCCCTCCTGGACATTAAGGAAGTCCTTAATGAAGCTCCTCCTTCTTCCTGGTTTGAGGAATACTCACAGGAAGTAGTTTCCCATCTATTTCATAGCAGAAAGAATGAGGAAGGTTGCCACAATTACCCTAAGAGGTCTCAACAGTGGCCAAGCTTCAGTGTCTCTGATGTACTTCATTTTTACCTATCAAGTACACCTATAATACACCTGTTCCCCCTTTTATAGGACCTGGGAGTCCCTACCTCTACCTTCCCTGCAGAAATGATCAGGGCCTCAGACCAGAGAAGAGGAAGGACGAGGAGTCCACACTCCCTCTGGGGAGGGACATCTGCTAAACCAGGCACTAGTTATACCAAGTTCTTTCTTCAAAAATGATTACCGAATTTGGAAGAAATAAAGCAGCCATCAGCCAACTGTCTGTGATAATAAAAGCAGTCAGTGCCACAGGAAGGTCTCTGTCTCCCTGGGAGCAAGCCTCTCCGATTGACCTGATCCTTCCCACGGGGTCTGCAGAGCCCTTCACTGTCTCCAGAGACAAGGAGCTGTGGATGTCACCTCTGAGGCCACCATCCAAAAGCCTCTACTTTGGCACAAGGTGACAGTTTTGAAAGCCATCAGATCAAAGAAAACTGATACAAAAATATTTGCCTTTAAGCCCATATGTATTGATTTATGTGAATATATGTAATAATCAAATGCACATGGCCACACATGTAAAAATACACATGTGCAGATATAAAGCATGTGGCCCTAGATCCTTGTTCAGTATGTATCCCACATTTTGGCTTGTCTGGGCCACACTGAGTACAGAAGAACTGTCTTGGGCCACATATAAAATACAGTATACCCCCGTGAAGTCACAGTTCAGAGTTTGCAGCCCATCACTGGTAGATTTCTCCTTAAAACCTAACTAATAATTGTTCAAGGAAACCCCTGCAACTTCATGGAAGCTGCAAATATCCCCCCTACAATTGTTTTTCAGGTGAGGTTTGCAAGTACCCAATCAGAGAGCATTATTCAGTTCTTGCTGCTGATTGGCTGTTGCCCTTTAACCCACCTCAGCTATCTGAGTGTTCTAGGTTTTGCTCTTCTTAAAGCCCTAAGATCTCTAAGATGCCGCCAAAATGCCCTGCACCTTCTAAGGCTTTATTAATACAGTATTTTATTAAATTAAATTACATAACCACAGGAGACATAGCATAGAGTTTAAACTATAAAAATAGGCATTTATGGCAATTTTCTGACCAAATCTGAAATTCACAGTTTTTCACAATTTGTAGATGCTCTAGGAACATAATTCTCTCGAATTTCAGGGTTCACTGTAATAATATAGCTAATATATATATAAGTAACAAAACTTCCCATATTTTTCAGATATTTTTATTATAATATTAAAATGAAATAACACAAGAAACCTGAGTTTAACAGTTAAATAAGAAAATTTACCTGTCTGTTTAATAACAATAAACATCTCTCTTCAGAGGATCATGGATGTGTAGGGAGGCTGAAGAGCTATGAACCTTAATGCTGCATCTTACTCAAGTTGCACAAGCACGTGTAACATCTGATACACCCGAGTCTCGACTCCACTGATGTGTGCAGTGGGCGCAGGAGGCAGAGTCAGCACAACACTGTGCCCTCCCCTCCCCAGCATCCCGCGGTCACCTGTGTGGTCTGTGCTCTAGCACCATGCAGCCAATTCATGCAAACACCACTACAAATCAAAATATAATGGTAAAAATGTATGATCTTGTGGGGCTGCACTGCTAGCTGTCCAGGGCCATCCAACCCCATCACTATGCTCGGCACCAAGACGCCTGGACACACATGCACACAATGTCTTCTACCAACTGGAAAGGCTCATTGTAAAATCTACACTTACATAAAATTCTCATTCTGTACAGAATTAGGGATCTCTGTAGTCTAGTAATGGTATAGTAATTTCATTTAAGTTTGTGATTTGTAATGAAGATGCAAGAGATTCACACTCGGACAGATATCAGGTACCCAGGTACTGAGCTGCCTAGGACCAGGCAACACTTACTTGGTTTTTCTTTTTGGTTTTTTTGAGACAGGATCTTACTATGTAATTCAGCCTGACCTTGAACTCACTGTGTAGTCCAGGCTGGCCTCAAACTCTGGGCAATCCTCAGGCCTTAGCCTCCTGTGTCCTGGGATTATAGGCATTCTCCACCACACTCAGCTTACTTGGTTTTTCTAAATAGCACGTGAGCTTTAAAAGGAACTATGGCATCCATAAGTGCTTTATTTCTCCACAAATTCAAGCCACTCTAGATGAAACAGAAACAAGTCAGTGAACCTCCACCCTGTGGATGTTACTCTAGATTATGAATGCACATGACATGGCTCACAGCACCAGGGCTGGGCTCTGGCTGCACTCAGCTAGTTTGTTTCCCAAAAGAGTAAACACACTGAGGAGCAGAACACCTCTGCACCAGTCAGCCCAGAGTCCTGGAAAGAACGAGATTATTTTTTAGTCCTTTGTTTATCATGCGCTGTACTTTAAGAATACAAAGAAAATGTAAACATAAAACAAGCAATTTCATTTACCCAAAATATTGAACTGAGAGGAAGCTGATGAAAGTAGCCTTTGCCTTATGTGACTTATCTGCACAATAAACATTTCTGGTGGATTAAGGTTAATTGCTTTTAATATCAGGCACACAGCCTGGCTTCTGAGCTCACTCCTCTGGGACGGCAAGTCCTGAAAGTCACAGAAAGGACAAGGATGATCACAGTCTGTCCCCTCAACCCTGCATGGGCTGGGCAAGCAGAAGGCAGTGGCAACAGCAGCAACTGGCCAGCTCACAGCTCCTCACCTTGGAAGGCAGCAGTGAACACAGGGCTACCTACCCCTCACCCCAGCCCTGGGACCAGCCTGGACATTTGGCCCCGTGGGACTCCATGACAGATTTAAGGGCCCACTCTGGCCCCCAGCTCCCTGACAAATACAGACTGAACTGTGATAGAAGGCCCCTTCTCGGTGCTGCTGCCCACTGCCTCCCTCGACTCCTCAACAAGAGATGGAACCAAGCATTGTTGCATTTAATGCCCCCACTGCAGCAGTGTCAGCATCTGTGTACAGGTGACTGATAGAACACAGGGACAAGCTAGAGTCAAACCAAGGTCACCTGACTCTGAAGCCCTGCCCATGCCCCTGTGCACTGCACCTGCACACTTTTGTCCAGCAACACAAGGAGAGCACTAAGAAATCCCTCTTGTCAGGAAGAAGCTGCTCTCCTCTCCCAGAGGAAGGAGAGTTCCTAGGGAGCCATAGGCACAAACTTCCTCATATGTGCGGCATGACACAAGAGAAGACACACTGTTAGTCTGAGAGCCCTTGGCATCACCAATGTCATTGTGCAGGCACAAAGAAAGGCCTGGGTGCAGCACAGGGACAGTGGCCTCCACCAGCAGTCACCTCTGGACATGGCAGGAGGCTGCCCCTCGCAGGCAACCAGCCCGGCCAGAATTTCTGCCCTTTTCTAACACCAGGCAGCACTCACAACAGCAAATGCTTTCAAAGCTTTACTGAGCAAACAAATACTGGTGTGAAGATTTGAACTTCAGATAAAAGTCTGTTATCTCAAATGCCTGATATCCTTCCCCTTTATCTCTGCCTCAAGGAGAAAGCAGATTGTTTCCCTACAGTAAAGTGGTGATGACCTGTTTCTAACTGACAAGGTGGCTGGATACAGACACAAGTGCAGCTTAGATTAGGAAACAGCTAACCACCAAGGTGTTCAAAGTTTAGCCTTTTAAAGCGCAGTAATTTTGTGCTTTCTAGTTACTGCTACCTTGGTGGATAGAGTATTTCAAAGACAGTAGTTAAATCTGCTTGCCAGCCAGGGCCTCGAAAGAAAATTATTTTTATGTTAAGATGATTTAATGAAGTTTAGATACAATTGGAAAATTAGGAAGGAGGCTGTGCATAGTCTTATCATAGCTCAGTACTCAGTATATAGTGAAACTGGGCAACTCCCTGATTAGGGAATCAAACCAATATCACTAAGGCCACCTGCCTCAACGTGAGCTATAAGAAAGGGTATCTTCATATCAACAGGTCTCCAGCCGAATCCAGTCAGGAAGAAGTATCCAAAAAGCTGCAAAAGAGGAAAGTTCTATAAAAGTCACTACTGTAAAAGACAAAAGGGACTGCGGAATTTTTCTAGGTTACAGGAGGCTAACAAGATGTCTCTCTGACTCAAGTTACACTGCAGTTACATTGTAACTCAAGTTACATTTGAACTGGAGGAAAAGGAAAACCACTAAAACATTGTTAAGTCAGATGACAGACCTGGACTATAAAGGTAAAGCATCTGCATTGCGTGATGTTTATAGAGTTGCTAAGTACAGCTGACCCTTGAACATGGGTTTAAACTGTGCAATCTGCCTATACTCATATATTTTTTTTCTTTTTGGAGATTTGTGACAATTTGAAAAAACTTGGAGAAGAATCACACAGCCCAGAAATACTGAAAAATTAAGGAAAAGTTCAGTATGTCATAAATGCATAAAATATATGGACAACAGTCTATTTTATTGCTTACTATAAAATGCTATATACACAAATCTATTATAAAGAGTTCAATGTGTCTAAACAGTCACATAGACACAGCCCATACGTGACACCGGCACCATGTGCAGTTGAGAAACAAAGATATAGCATTATAACCTTGTAAAACCACGGTGTGCACTGTACCATGGCCATGATCCTGCAGCCTCCTCCCGCTGCTCCTGTGGTGAGTCACATTTGGAGTTTCAACTCCAAAACTCTGTGATGCTCCTCATCTCCGCTCCTCACCTCCAGTAAACTGCGTATTGCAGTAAAAAATGACCCCGCTGGGGCCCTGCACATTTTGCAATGTATATGACTGCTTATATTTGGTAAGGCTTCTGATCAACAGCAGGCTAGAAGCAGTCAAATTTTGGGGGAGCCAAAAGCTATCTGTGGATTTTTAACTGTGTGGGGGTGAGAGATGAGGAGTATCACAGCCCCAAAGCCCCACAGTGTTCAACCACCATGTGTGTATCGATTACATGACTATGCCCGTATTTTAAAGAAAAGCATACCGAATGTTTCGGAATAAAGTCTCCCTATGCTTACAATGCAGTCTCAAATGGTCAACTCTCCCTTTAATCTGTACATTTATATATTTATGCAAACACATATACAATGCATATATACGCTCATATACATATAGTGAGGAAGCTTATATAAGGTAAATGAATTAAAATGTTAAAAATAGGTAAGTAGATAATAAGTACACACAAAAGTGTTCTTGTAAGATTCTTATTCTTGTAATTTTCTTGAAGAGCAAAATTAGATTCAAATTAAGTTTAAAAAAAATAATCAGTACAAAAGTGAAAAAGAAAATTACACATATAAATACTTTCTAAGATTTAGATCCCAGAAAACAACCAATTTATCCCATGGGAATGTTCTTCCTTTAAGAAGAATGGGGTTTCAGACAGAAGCTACAGGAGGTGAGAAGAGAAAGTACCAGAGAGGAGGCCAAGTGTGTGGGGAAAGAGTAAATGTGACAGTCTGCACACATGCAACCCCAGTCCGGCCTACGGAGCCTGCAACCTTGATAAGTGGTTGCATGAAGAGCCTCAAGTGGGTGTGGTAACCAAGGGCATCTGATCCACAGAATCACACCAAAGCCAGCAACGGGACAGTAAGGCCTCATCCTGCCAGGTGACACCAGGAAGGCAGCCAGTGAGAGTCGCCAGATCTTCAGCAAATGCTGCAAGTGAGCTACAGCGGCTACCTGGGCCAGCTTTCAGCTCCTGCTCCTCTTCTGTTTCCCTGCAGGGATGTTTTCACTGAGGATTGTGAAGTGAAGGTCTATGTTTACACCAGAAAGCTTTCTGCCTGCCTAGCTGACCTTGCAGTATATGTGTGATCAAGAGCAGAGAAACACACACTGAAGAACAAGAGCAAATGCCACAATTGCTAACAAGAGTGAAGGAAATTGTAGGGCACTCCCACCAATCTTTCCAGAATGGATCCAACTGAAACTTGATGGTTCTGAACCCTCCCAAAGCCCAGAGGCCTGAGGCACAAAGCAACACACACTTCCAGGTCAAGCATTAAGAATTATCACCTTTCCTGGGAGAGGAGTTGAACAAACTTGGAAGATGTGATAGAGTCTATTTCAGAATCAAAAGCAGATCCTACTTCAAAAACAAATATACTTTAAAGCCTTACTTGGATCAAAACAGGGAAGTACAAGGTTCAAACTGTGCTGGTTTCCAATGGATGTTTTGATTCTAATTTACTATCCCTCCCAGAGATCTTTGTAAAAAAATGGCAATCGAAATAGGGCTATAGATAGATGTCCTATCTTCCTTTAAATACTGTAACACATTGTTTTCCTTTTATGTAAGAGATATACAGAAAACCAGTCACATGCTAAATACTATACTGCACCAAGTTTCAGTAGAGTATTCAATGTAGCTCTCAAAAGACTGTTGAGGTAAAGGCCAGTGCTATCCTATCAGCCCTGATCATCTGAGAACTAAAACCCAACTCTCATTACAGCAGCACCAGAAAATAGAAAGCCTATGAATAACCTCACCAGGAAAAATTTTAAAGAAATGAAAGGAGAAAAATTATTTTTTTGGCTACAGACAATGAAGATGCTCTGAAAAATTAAGGTATCTTTTATATTAAAATAGCTATAGTTTTGTATAGTTCCAATTACTCCATATAATTTTTTTCATGAATGATAAAGTCTTGATTCTACAATTCATGCCAGCTCTACCAACCGCAGGCTCTGTGTCCCTAGAAAGGTCCTTCCTCCTCCGTGCCTCAGTTTCTCCACCTGTAAAACAGGAATATAGTGGAAATGTTCTGAGGACTGAACAGGTCTGCACCTGACACATAGTTTGCACTCAGTGATGGTTAACTGCTGCCACTGCTCTTACCACCAGTATAGTACAATTTGGAAGAATGAGCAATGACAGTAAGGCCATTTTTTGAAGAACAAATAGTACTCATGCAAGAATCAAACAGATCAATGGAAGAGAACAGATATCCCTAAAGCATGCATGCATGCACATGCACACACACACACACACACACACACACACACGCACACATACACACACACACTTTTTAAAATATAACTCATGAAACATAAACTAATTAGAAGTGAGTTATTTAAAAAATGATTCTAGTAAACTGGCTAATCTGGAAGAAAACCAAATAAGAGTCTCATTGTTTATATCATTCAAAATAAATCCAGATGAAGCAACAATGTATTTTTTAAAAAGTATGCATAAGAAACAGGTAAATTTTTATATTAATTTGGAATAGAAACAGGGTTTCTGTTTATATGAGAAGGAAAGGGAGGCAGAAAGGGAAGCAGGCAGGGAAGGGAAGAAGGAAATGACCAAAGTAAAGCAACAAATAGAAAAATAGAATCAATAAATATGAAAAGTTTATTTGCCATCTAAAAGACCTCTTTAAGCCAAAAGGAAAAAGAAATGCAAAGAGGGATGGACCTACAACTTTGATTAAAATAAACTTACCCAATAAACAACTGAAAAACATTTAACCTCATTAGTAACTTAAAAATGTAAAACAAAGCAGCTTATGTTTTTAATTTAAAATCAGTTCGGCACTAGCAAAAGCACAGCAAGTCAAAGATGTCCTCAAACTGGCAGTGGGCACAAAGTGACACGCTGGTCCAGGAGCCCTCCACAGTACCACACAGCCAGCACTTCACTTCCAGACCCTTCCCTGGAAACCACCGCAGCTGCAGACTCCTGCACAGTGTTTGGTTGCAAGGTTACTCCCAGCAGGGATAGTAACCCGGTGGACAGCACTGTGGTCAAAGATGGATACCCCACCATAATATATGCAATCATTAAACAGCAGTTTTGCGAATTATCAAGTTATGAGACCATTTCCATGTTATTCAACCATACTGAGAAAAAAACAAACCAAGCCTATAAAATTACTTATTCCATGCCAGGTATGGTGGCACACACCTGTTATCCCAGCACTCAGGAGGCTGAGGCAGGGGGATCTTACACGAGTTCAAGACCAGCCTGGGCTACATAGTGCGTTCAGAGCCAGTCTGAACTACGAAGTGAGACCTTGTCTCAAAAAAACCAAAACAAAACAAAAATTACTTATTCCATTTTTCTCAATTCTGGATGACTAAGTTTAAAAAATGGAGGGGGCAGAAACAAAATATGCTAACAGTGGCTAGCTCGGCGATAAGCTTGTAAGCTATTCATATTTTCTGTTTTATTATTTCTGTTTTACAAATTCTCTACCATGAGCATAAGGATCTTTAGAACTTGGTAAAATAACAGCTGTCAAATATGACAAGATGTCACCTGTGGAAGGAGCAATCAACAACAGCCAAGACTACCAAGCACTTTCTAAAACTTACTGAAGTCTAGATGCTGACCAATCCACTCTTGCTTCCCTATTTCCCTATGTGCTCGAGGTGACCTGGCTCCATCTGCTTCCTGTCTACAGAATGTGACCAAAGTACCTGCAGGTAAGTAGGCACCTGGGCCTCCTCTCACCCCTCCCACCTCAAGCTGCTTCCAGCCCCAGCCAGTCTTGCTTCCCCGCGGATAAAAAGGAAGTCATGCTGACCCAACCAGAAAATTGTTTCTCTTATGTTTTTCACAGTATCTTAAAAGAAGGAGCTAGGCATGGTACACATCAGTAATCCCATCACTTGGCAGCCTGAGGCAGGAGGATCATCATGAGTTTGAAGCCAGCCTGGGCTACATAGTGAGTGGAGCCTGGAATACTTAGAAACCCCGTCTCAAAAAAGCAGAAAAAGACTCACAATATGTTTTACCCAGAGAGAGAAATTTCTTAACTCATACTACACTATTTCTTGACTGATTGTTTGAATGCATGTTTTCACAGGTACCCACCCAGAATGATGCACTAAAATGCTGGGGGACTGGAGGAAGGGTTTCACCTGCCTAAAACGGGGTTCCCCAAGCTTCCTGCTTCCCTGGTCATTTGAACAGCCAACTTAAAAACTATCTCTTTATTCTCCCCTATTTTTGATGTCTAGGTAATTTAATTTTTTAAAATAAAAGCAAAACTAATTCCTTCCTTCTTCATCCCAATAAAATATGTGGCATGGGAGAAATATTTTTGCTCTAGAAAAGAAATCCAAGACCCCCTGCCAGGGACTTTTCCCACCTGGATGGTGAATGTTTGGATTTGGTAATCAGAGTACAAAACCTAGGAGAAGTCTGCTTTTATTTTTTTTTATTTTTTTGGTACGAGGGATCGAACTCAGGTCCTTGCACTTGCAAGGCAGACAGTGGAACCATTCAGCTAAATCCCCGGTCCTTGCTTTTATTTTTTCACTAAAAACAGATGCAGGCTCTTGATCCATACGCACAGGAGCTCTTATGCAATCCTGCAGCTAAACAGTAAGCGTGTGCGCATACTCCTCTGCCAGCATTGTCTGCTCTAAGTACAGTAAGGAAAAATCAATTCTTCATATTGATCTAATGTCCAAAGCCAGGCTCTTCACTTGGATTTCATTAGAAGCAGTTCACCTGCAGTTTGAACATTTAGATAGAGAGGTTATGTACCTGATGGGAAAATAACTAGAAAAATACCATGTTCTCTGACTGCTCCCATGCAATACAGCAGCCATCACAGGCCCCTGAGGAAGGAATGAAAGAGGAAGGAGGAAGGAAAAGGAGGCAAGAGAGCAAACAACTCAAGAGCTCAGGGGAGCAGCAGAGACCATGGAGCCCACCAGCTCTCTGACATTGAGGCTATATCTAAACTCTTCAGTAGGTCGCCAGCAGTCACTAAGGCGCCTCCCATACCACAAGCCAGTTGACCTCTGACCTGGTCTTCTCTCTTGGTGAGGAGAAAAGCACTGGAAGGTTTATAATTGGTTCTTGAGAAAAGTCGGTACCATTTGGATTTCCCAGAAGTAAATCCAAGTAGAAAGTAATGCTGTTAACCTGGTCCACAGGACCTGCCTTCTCCATCATCAGCACTGGCCCAAGGCTTCAGTCACAGGGTGTCTGTCCTGCCATCTAGAATGCCCCCCAATTACCCCAACACACACTCTTCCTTTCAGTTTAGATATCACCTCCTCTGAGCTCTCTCCTGGTCCCATGGTGTAAAGCTAGTCCCTCCTGCTGCTCTCTCTCAACACCCCACTCTGCCCTCATAGCACTGAGGCCAGGGTCCATGTACTCGTCCAGTGTCTACACCCTACATGGCTGAGAGTCCTAAGACAGAAAGAACATCTCTTCTGTTCCTGACCCTGAGCTTGATAGGGAACTTGATGGATATTCAATAAGTAGAAGCAAAAACAGGTAACAGATAACTGACAAAGCCAAGAGCTCATGCTTTAAGATCATCAAAACTGACAAACCTTTAGCTAGACTGAAGGGCCAACACAAGCAATATTACAAAACTTTTTAAAAAATTAAATAACTGAGATAAAATAGATAAATTACTGAAAGGCACAAATTACCACATCTGATTCAGCAGGAAATACAAAAAACACCTATAACAAGAGATTAAACTAGTAATTAAAAAGCTGCTCATGCAGAAAATCTTAGGCATTCATGTGAATTCTATCAAACATTCAAAGAGAAATAAATACCAATCATTCACAAACTCTTCCAAAAATTACAAGAGAAGGCAACATTTCCTAACTCATTCTTTGAGATCAATATTGCCCTGAGCCCAAAGCCAGACAGAGATACCCCAAGAAAAGAAAGCTGCCAATCACACACCTTAAAGTAAGGGTATAAAAAGGCTTGAACAAACACATGGGAGGATGCAGGAAGGACCTCTCCTTGGAGACACTGCCAGCTGAGCTTATAGTCACCTAAACTGAACATATGTGACAAAGACTCTGCGTATGGCCCAGAGTGACAGCAGACTACAGTGCATATCCTTATGTAGGCTCAACTGCTCTGAAGACTTTTAAACTGTAAAAAGGCAAATCTAGCCTCCTTGTAGAGGCAAAGGCCATTCTGTCCCATGGCCTATAATTCCACAATGCACAAGTAAAGAGGGGCTCGCCAGGCAGAAGCTCTTACTCACATTCTTCAGGACAGGAAGTGCCAACTGCTCAAAAGAAGTCAGATCGACCACATACTGCCCAACTCGGCAGTCACGTTTCCCAGGCTGGGGCTCGGACCTGAAAGAAAAGACAGGTCTGTAGAAAGAATACTGAGTTCTCGTGCTGGGTGTGCCCACTAAATTATTCTCAATGACTGCCACATAGGAGGCTGCCCCAACTCAGCCTTTCCTCGGAGAAGAGCTGAGCTTAAATGTCCCCAGTGCCATCAAGGGGCATCCTTTCCTCCATACCTTGGCCCCACAGCTCCAAAAACTAGGCACCAGCTGTCTAGACAAGAGGCTAAGAATTACAAAGGGAGCAAAGTGCATAAAGGCCTCTGTAACCTTGTTTTTCATACAACGGTCTCTGGTTCTTCCTTTAGGAAAGCTCTGAAGGCTCAAAGATTCCTCAAGACATATGATGGCATTAGCTCAACCTGAGCCAGGGATGGAGGGAAGGCAGAGCAATCCGGGACCCTACCGAAGGTTCTGGAGAAGTTAGCTCCAGGTAATCAAGACTAAAAATGCTCCCAAAACCTGGACAGGACAGCTCAGAGCAAAATCCCCACAGAAGAGAAACATCAGTACCCAACTCTGGACAGTGGTCCCCGGGCACCAGACAAGGTGACCACATCAAATCCAGTCCTTCTCCCTCCCTGCCTGACTTCTTCTGTGTAAAATCCATCCACAGGCAACCCAGAGGACTGCAGAAGCTCACTGGCTTTTTGGATCAAGGTGGTTTTTCCAACTCCTGAAAGAGAAAAGAGAAGAGAAGGGACATTAGAAAGCAGCCCCTGTTGGGTACACAAGGCACAGACTCCAGGGGGCGACCACAGTGGGCAGAGAAATGTGCTACACATGAATTTTATGGATACTAATTTCACCGTAATTTTATTTCCGCCAGGTGTTAAGCATTTTTCATTTCAGTAGAAATAAGCATAATAAAACACAAATGGTATCTCAAAGTTTGGGTTCTGAAACACTGTTACTTTTGTCACATACACAATCCTGGAACTCACTGAGTGATTATTCTCTGATAACACTGTCAAATGCAATTTGCATCCCAAGTTGGGCTTCAATTTCTCCTAGGTTTACCTTCTTCCTTCACCTTGGAAATGATACTGTTCATGCTACAGCCAGAAGCTACCACTGGAGACCAAGGTTCCAATCTTCAAAAGACTAGTCTGCACTCACTGCTGGGAAAATCTCTTCACTACCCCTGCTAACTCCTGAAAATGTTTCTCCTAAACCCCGTGAACACCCTCCACAGGGTCACCTTTGACTTCTTCAAGAGCAATCCCATCAGGTGGACAACCCCTCCCAACATCATCTTCTTCAGGGTCGCCAAGCATCCTTTCCGCTCACCACCAACTACTCCCCATATCACCATCTCCAAGGCCCCAACCTTCCATCTGCTCTCAATCATGCCAACATCAACTAAGCCGTGGGCCCTGAGCATCTCTTCAACTCGCCATCGATCCCTTCTATAAAGCCCTTCTACAGGGTCCCTGAACATCCCTTGTGCAGGTCCCTAAGCCCTTTAAAAACACATTACCCTCTCCAGGCTGCCTAGGCTTCCCTTCACTGATCTCGAACCCCTCCAACATCACCTTCTCGAGGGGCCCTAAGCATTCCTCCTGCTTAAGAGACAGGAGTGACTGTCTCGACCTGTCTCAAATCAGAGGCTATGCACCTCTACCCTGTTCCCTCCACCTCTAACCCTTCCTTCCCTAACAGTTGGCCTGTGACTGCTCAGATGAGCCCACCAATGTTTACAAGAACCAAGTGCTGCTGCCGAACACAGGAACACTGAGCAGCAATCTGAAGGAGCGCAAACTGGCTCCTGTAAGTTCTCACAACCAAGATTGGGAATGTTCTACCAGATCTGCAACAGGCGCTTGGAGGTACCATAGTCACAATCCTGTTATTTCTATTGCCATCCTCACAGAGTCATCAAGGTGCCTTTTAGTTTCCTTGAAATAAAATATGATTCCTAATTCTTAATATTCCTTCCCTACAAACTTCACATTAAAATAAGGGCACCTGCTGACTGGAAAATGGACAACATAGCCCTTTTCTGAAGGGCAATTTTAGTGTGCCCACCAGTATCAGCAGTTTCTGTGACTACAAATTTATCCTCAGGGAACAACCTGATTAAAGTACAAAGAGGTGTGAAATCAGATGTTCACGGTAGCATTCTTTATAACAGTGAAACACTGAAAACAACCTAAGTGTCAGTTGGTTAGGAATGTTAACTTAGGACACCATGCATACAACAGCACATAAATACACAAGAATATCATGCAGCCATTAGCAGGAATATTATTAACTTACACTGATTAGCATGGAAATAGACCACAATACATGAAAATAATACATGGGAAAACCAAAGCAGGTTAACTAACCACGAAAGTATATAGTATTATTCCATTATGGTTTTCTAAAAAGGCAAAATATGTATGTGTTTACAGAAGAAAAGGTCAAGACAGAACAAGAGGTTATAGTGCTTATTTCTATAGGTTGGAGTTCATGTAATTATCACTTTCTCCCTTAAGATATTCTTAATTTTTTAGTTATCATTCTTACACTGAGCAGGTATTACTCTTATTCCAACAAAAAAAATACACTTATACTGTATTTTGAAAAAGATAAAATGGAGCAACATAACAGTTCCTGTTCAAAGGACTATACTAAAAGAAGTTGTATGTTATGTAGAACACATAAATAGGAAACACTCGGGTTAGACCTTTTTGGTTAATTCAGCTCTAGGAATCTTTCGGCTAACTTTTCATCTTCATCAGTTGAACTACTATTCTACAGCTGTCTACACTTGCTAAGAAGTGACCTAGGCTGAAGGGACACGCAAGATGACAGCCACACAGAGAGGAGAGCAAGTCAGAAAGCTCCAGTTATTTTGGTTGGTTCTCCCTTACACAGATCTTCGGATAAAGATTCAAGTGCAAGTAGCTGAACTTGGGACATAACAAACACTCAGGTACAAAGTAAGGAGATCAGAAGGGGAAGGACACTATCAGGAGATGCCTTATCAAGCAAGTCACCACTGTGTTCAGCGGGAGCGTAGTTCAACTGGAGAACCCTAGGAGACAGCTTGGGGGTTCATGGCTCAGTTATCCTGAGGGGTGAGGAAAACAGAAGTTGAGCAACTAACTTTCCCCAATCATGGGTAGAAGGCTAATGATTCTGGGAGGCAGGAATTCCTTAGCTCTTCCAGCCAGTGAAAGCTGGGGAAATCCTGAGTGGCAGGGGGGCTGAGGGCACATGCAACAAAGAGAGACCTCTATGAGAAGATACAGTAGGTATCTGTTGATGAACACCTCCAGAGGATTTGAACAGCAGCAGAGTTTGGGACAGAGTTAGTAACCGACTGAAAGGAAACAAATGAGAACACGACAGTAACTCCAAGCCAGGGGAAGAGCTGTGCACACATGGAAAAGGAATTATCAATTACTACTTGGTTCTGCTGTGATTAGTTTTTACACGGTCATGATCCTGCAAACACTGACTACCGAGCTAATTAAACTGACAAGGTAACTGGGTTGGGAAGAGAAAGATGCTGAAGGTGGGCGGCTCAAGAGCTGTCCTGGAAGATTATGGGTCTTTCAATTGTGTGCCCCTGAGCTTATGAAGAACAGGGTGGAAAGAACGGCCAGCACGAGCACACCCTTAGCTGGGGTCAGGTGACTTGGGGCAGAGATCCAACTTCAACCCAAGTTTCAAATAAAGGACCTGCACCTTGGCTTTCAGGGACGGTTCGTTGCAATGAGTGGGCTGGACCGCTAGGATCTGACATTTCTCAAACCACCCTCTTTGGCCACAGCTCTCACCATCGTCTCCCCTAATGCCTGGTAAAATAAATACCCGAAGTCTGCGACGTTAAATGTATCCTTTGTATTTAAGGCTAAGGGCTACCTGAATTGCAGTGACTTCACCATCACACCTGCCTCCTCGCACAGGAGCCTAGGTCACCCTTTCTGCCCTCTGGGACGCTGTCGAGCCTCTGGCCCGGCCCTCCTCCGACCGCAGGGCTGGGCGCAGCGCGGGGCCCTCTCGGGCGCCGGCGCCCCTTGTTCCCTGGGCTTGAGCACGGGCAGTGGCGACACCTGCGGCCTCGGGGCGCACTCCTGTTCCCTGAGACCAGGCGGGGGCCGGCGGGGAACGTGGCCCTCCGCACACCCGGGCCACACCCCTGACCCCACCGCAGGTAAGCTCCGCTCAGCCACGCCACTCCCCGCCGCAGCACCGCTCACAGCGCCGCCGCCCGGTCGGTCCGAGGCGCTGGACCCCCGTGGTCACCTGGCGACCCGGTGAGGAACACGTGCCGCGCCATGAGCGGGAGGGTCGCAGTCCTCGCCACCGCCGGGTCAAGGTTCGGGTCGCAGCCTGCCCCCCCACCCCGCCCCGCCAAAACTCAGGCCCCGCCCCGCTACCGGAAAGACTACTCTGCGCATGAGCCTCTGCCTGGGTTTGCGCGTGCGCTTTCCCCTTAGCTGCTCTTGTTTGTGCGCACCCTCCTCGCTGCGCGCCTCTGGCATCTGTCCGCTAATCGCTGAACCCGGTCAGGGATACCTGTGCTAGGTCTTGAGGACCCTAAGATCCTTAGGTTTTGCTCAGTGTTCTCGTGCTCTTCTGTTTGGTCTCTTCAGCGATGCCAAGTGTCAGATTACAGCAGCTTTCATTTAAAGTTCTAATTAGTTTTCCTTGCATTCTAGAAATAACTGCAGAATGAGTGTTCGCCTTAGCTGAGCAGAGGAAGCTGGCTTTATAGACAGAAGCTGAAGGAAGCAGAAATAACACAAAGCGTGCTGGTCTTTGCAAAGTTATTCCCCTTACATGGTTAAAACAGAGAGGACTTGCTTATTGTGCTGACTCAGGAGGACTGCAATTCTTGTTTTTTAGGAAAACTGGTCCATTTCAAACGTCACTTTGATTAGTAGGCACTTGACACAGTGACTCCATTCTGATTGAGCGGGGCTCCTGGACTTGAACATTTGTATCTTTTAATCAGGAAGTTCCTAAAGTCAGGGCTTGAGAATCACTGGTCCAGGACTGCTTTCCATATCCAGCCACATGAGTGAAACTGTTTCCCCTTCACCCCTCTACACCGAGTGTAAACCAACACGACAGCTGAGTCTCTCCTTTGTAAAGAATCGAGTAACTCCCAGCCTCACATAACCACAGCAAGTAATCCAGCCAGCAAAATAAAGTGGACCAGCTTTACCTGTAAACTCTTTTAGTCTAACATGTGTACAATTTGACTTGTGATCAATCATTCTCCCTCCTGGCTGAGAAAGTAATTTCAGGTGTGCTCAACTTAATTGGCTTGTGCACACACACAGACCTGCTTGGCTCCCTTTGGCCTACAATATATGGCTGTCAGATGGCCTTAATCTCTGGCTGTTTCAAAAACATCATCTAAGGGCCGGGGATTAGCTCAGTGGTTCCACTGCCTGCCTCGCAAGCCCAAGGTCCCGAGTTCGATCCCCAGTACCAAAAAAAAAAATCATCTAAAATAAAAAGTATGCTATAGCTGTCACTATCATTCCTGGAACACTTATTACACTATGTAACAGTATGTTACAGTATGTTACTTACTATACCAACAGGTACAATGGGTTAGGGTTAGGGTTCTTCTACATCTTGCACCTGCAAAGGTCAATGTACAGTTGATATAACAAAGTAAACCCATAGAAGGATCAGAAAGAGAGGAGAAGGTAGGAAAACATGTATAAAGTCATAATGTACTCCTGTGTCTAAAATAAGAATTTTAACTTAATTATGTAACATTTTCCATCACTGACAAACGGTCTGGATTTGCAAGGTTCACAGAAGTTGGGTTATTTTCTTTTAATGTTGTATTATGTGGAACTCTGGCATCAGTTTTTCTAATTTTAAAACATACAGAATCCAGATATAAAGAATCAATGTCTCAGGGAAGAGAAAGAAAATTCTTCTATAGGTGAGTGTTTTTATTCATTTAAAACAAGTTGGGGTGATGGTTACATGGCAATTTTCACTATACACTAATTCATTGAACACAATTTTTAAAATGTTCTCTGTGTGTCATCACACATCAATAATAACATAGGTTAAAGAACATGTGTGTTAAGAGATTTTTTTAAAGGAATGACATAATTAGCAACAAAGTACAATGCTAAATCTAACCTGTAGTTATTATCTCATCAGAGTGCTATGTGTGAGAAACAGGCTTTGTCTTTTCTATCAAAGCACAAGGCCAAAGCAACTCCATTTTGGATTTAAATGACCTGGCCATCTCATTATCCACCCCCCAACTCCCCCCCCCGCCATTAATGTCCTGAGCTCTAAGAAATGATGACTATGTACTTTTTCCCAGAACACAGTGGGTTTCTAAGATAAGAACCAAGGACTTTGCTTTCCAAACCCCATACCCCTTGTCTCTAACTGACTCAGCCACGCACCCCCTCACCCTCACCTTGTGCCCTGGAGTTAGTCAATTGGAATAGATTGTATGCCTTTGGATTTAGCCATTGAATTTAAAGATCAGCTGCATCTCCTGCCTTAGGGGTAAAAGGGGCAACTCTCTTTGTTCCTGTGCACTTGCTACCTCATGCTTGCATCCTTTGGCATATATAAAACAAAATGCCTTATTGAGATTCTTGATGTCTAATATTCACTTTATTTATAATATTCACTGACAATTGGACCTTATTTCAAATTGGGACTTATTTCCAAGGTATGGACTGAAGGTGTGCCCCTCAATTCATGCATGACATCCCCTGATGTGAGGTGTGAGAGGGTAGGGCCTCTGGGAGATGATTAGGACATGAAAATGGAGCCCTCATGAAGACGATCAGTGCCCTTACAAAAAGATGGAAGTAAGCTCTGCTCTGTCTGCTCCCCTGCTATGAGCAGACAAGGAGTCAAGGAAAGACTTTAATGAAGAACCTCACAGTGGTGTCACCCTGTTAGACTTCCTCCAGAATTGTGAGAAATACATGCTTCTGTTGAAGCCACTCAGTCTTCAGAATCCTGTCGCAGTGGCCTTAGCTAAGACACAAAGTGAAATTGCCCCAAGGACAGGTGACTCTTCCTATAGCGCCTGTATGGTCTCCCTTGGATAGGATGCAGCACAGTTCTTCACTGAAGCAGTCTGTAAGTCCCTCTGCAGTCTGCAGTCATAGAATCGCAAAAAGTCCAAAAATCACTGCTTGTTTTGTTTTCGGATCTCCCTTGGCCCAGGATGGTCCTAGTTTGTTTATTAATTAATTTATTTTGGTTTTTTGAAACAGGGTCTCACTAAGTAATTCAGGCTCGCCTTGAACTCACTATGTAGCCCAAACTGTTGTCAAACTCATCCTCCCTCAGCCTCCTGAGCACTGGGACTACAGGTGCACCACTACACCTAGCAAGACTGTCCTAGTTTTAAAATTCCAAGTTCCCTTTCTAAGCAACCCCTTCAATCCCCAGCAAATAAGCAGAAATGAAGGGAATTTTCTCTAACCTCCTATAAACTAGTGGCAGTAAAGGAAGACGATATTCAGAGCAAAATGTTTAGGATAAGCAAAAAGGTGTGGAGAAGGAGGCTAAAGTAGCTTCTGTTTGAGTTTGTGGTTCTTGCATGAGGAATGCTGACAGTGCTCAGCTATATTCATTCATTGCACTCGGATCCTTTAGAGGAGGATTAACTGTTTGTAAAATAATATGGCCCTTGTTCCCGTTTGAATCTATCTTTGATGAGTAGAAATAAAAAAGATTGCTGCATCTAATGAATATTCAACAAGCTGGTTATTGAATATACCTCTCCCCCTTCTCCTTCCCTCTTCCTTTCTCCATTTTGTTCCAGTTGCTATGGTGAATAACAGGGACCAAGCACACATTTGAACAGCTTTGGTCTTGAGAAGAGTTAAGCCCAGAGCGTCTGTTATACCTGAGGTCCAGGTTTTGAAAAAAATGCAAAATGTTCATGAGCTACAGTGTTTTCTCACTCAAAATGAAAATAACTTTGTTCCAGCTCCAAGGGGAAGAGTTACTTTCCCAACCCTTTGGGTTGCCTACCTTGTCAAATAAAAGTTGCCAGTAAGAGAGCTGGTATTGCATTTGAGCCACAACCTTTTCATGTGTCTAACAAATGGTAATAGCTGCATTTGTGTAGTGCTTGCTGTGTGCCAACTGCACTTCTAAGAGCATTATAAATCATATTAATCACTCAAATCACCACAAAAATGTCATTTTCTATGTGGAGAAACCAAGGCACAGGAGGTTAAGGGACATGCCTGAGGCTGCCACCTTGCATGCAGCCATCTGTACACCCTTCAGTCCATGCATATGCGTATACACGTGCCGATACTCCTTGTGAATATACAGCCTGATAAATCCAACATAACTTGAAAATGTCCTCAGTTGAAGATGAGATACAAACCTACAGAACATCATAGCTATGCAGCACAGTACACAATAAAGTGTTGCTTATTCAGCCTGTGACGGCGTGGCTCTATGGGGACTGCTGAGCATGGCACCAAGAGTATAAAAACCTCAGAGTGCTATCCCCAAAAAATAATCAAATCTAAAATTTGGAAGGCATTTTCTACTAAATGTGTATCACTCTCACACCATGGTAAAGTGGAAAAATCACAAGTTGAACCATCTTAAGTCTGGGACTGTATACATTGGTGATATCTGTCTATTTATCAATATGACATCTGATTCAGACCCAGGTGTTGGAAACCAGAGTCTGTTCTCTCAGCCTCTGCTCTGTGTTTCTGTTCACTAATGCAGCTTTTTACCTTTGTCCTGAAAATACATCACAGACAATATCACAAAACAAGAAAGCTTGCATGAGGACTGCAGACATGGCCGTTGGCTGCTTTTTCTTCTTCTGGGAAGGACAGAATCATATACCGTGGGATAGGAGACCTAAAATAACCCTGATAAAAGCTATGAGAACAGATAGCATGCAAGCACTCTCTCTGCCTGATTTTAATCTCATTCTTCTCCCCAGGGCTTTCCAGGATCATAATTCCTGTCATATAGGTCCTCAGGGACAAGCTAACTTGGAGAATCCTGAGTCAGTCAGCAATCAAGTGGGCCAGGTGGGTGCACTGTTTCACCTCCAAGTCACTCTGGGTGTGAGGGTGCAGGTGGACTGCTCTCACTCTCTTGGTGCTGAAGCTGGCCTCTTTCAGCCAGCACTGTGAGGTCAGGAAGTGTCTCTCTCACAGAGGTGCAAAATTAATGACGTTTATTCTAGGTTCATTGTCTTTCTCCATAAATCATCTGTGGGGGAAACATGGTGCTTGTTAACGTGGTCCAGCTCCACCATCCCCAGAATTGTGTGTACAGTGTAGCTTGGGCAAATGGGGCTGGTTTTAGTAAGCTGAGTGCCTCACACAGGAGCACTGCACCCTCACTGTCCTGTGCCCTCCTGCAAGCTC